TTTTTTGAAATAGAAAACTGGATAAAAATAAGGCTTTTATGAAAACACCGAATAAACAAATGCTTAGAAACACACAAACCATTTATAATTGCTAAATTAGGCTGAAATATAAGGCGCAGAGTGATAATAAATTAAGAGCCGCTTGGGAGCCACAAGAGCCGGCTCTTTTAAGAGAGCCGAGCCAAAAGAGCCAAATCTGTGAAAAGAGCCGGACTTCCCATCACTATTGGACAAAGGATTCAAATACGCCTTCTGGTGCAGTATACTTTTTCATCATCATACAGAGACTGGACTTATTTGGACTTCTGGAGTGTTGATTTGACTTTTATTGTTTCCTTGGACTGAACTACTTTAGTACTGATAAAACTGTATATGCACTGAAGAGACAATGTTATTATGGCGTTACCAGTATTGTAAACTTTGGATTCTTGTATGGTTGATTGATTCGAAAAGGATTTGGATTTGAAAATTATCCAATTGGATTCCACTCCACATTGGATAACAGATTTAGATTGGGTGCACCCTATGATATTGCAGACATAAAAAGGGAACGTATCCTAAGTAAACCATTATTCAAGATTTACTTGTTCCTCACAAGGAGGAGGGATTACTTAGTTTTTTGATATTGATCTGTGAAGAGAAAAAAGACAACACGGTTAAGCTTTTGTTATTTTGGTTTATTCATTTTCCATATTTTTCATTATTTTAGTTATCTAAATTGTTTTGTATATGTGCACACATTCAGATACAGTAAGAAAGTGTTCAAACATATGGTTTGTGAGATTCATTTGAACACCACACATTGCTCCAGTAGCCGAACCTATTCCAGCTTGTTGGCCCTTAATTAGAGATTAATAATTCCTTGTCTAAACACTTGTCAAGTGTTACACTAATATCTCAGGGTCCGTCGTCCACTGAAATGAATGGGTTCAACTAATTAAAACACGCCGAAAGCCCAGATCTGTTTACTGCAGCACTGACAGTTGTACTGTAACTTCTTATTGTTGACAGTGTTATCTAAGCTACAATATTGGCTAATTAATATAGATTTAAATATATTATTATTATTATTAATAAATATAGATTTGCTATTCAAGTTTAAATATAATCAATTTTAGCTCATGTTAAAGTTACTGTATATTTTTATCTTCAGTACACTTTAAGTCTGTGGACTAATCTTCTGGGTGCACTGATTGTTTAAAGCCCTACATGTCATTTTTCTATATTTTTCAGCTGTGACATTGTGGTATAGGTCACAATGGCCATTAATGGTCCAATTATATTCACACATAAATGCAGAGAATGATCTTCTCTATAACCTCAGCCCATTACTGGGGAAAAACCATTGTGACTATAAAAGTGGAGATGCCAGTTATGGCATTTTGTAACTTCCCTACTTTTTCTCTACAATGTACAATTGACCAGACAAACTGTAAACGGCTTAGTAGACTCAAAATAAATAAAACAACATAAATAATAAAGACAAAAGCTTGTACCAAATTAATCTGGGTGTTATGGGAGCAGTTCTGGTGAAAAACGGCTCCTCTGAGAATATACTCTAAACCACTTTTTCAAGTCCTTGGGAGGCAGAGTGCAGTACAGTTGCTATACAATTCCTGGAATTATTTACACACACTCATACACACACACACACACACAGCCTTGATACAAACCCATCATGATGCCATTGAACTAAACTGTTTTTACACACAAACACACTCTCCCCCTCTCTCTAATGTAATTGTGTTTATCACCAACGTAAACAGAAAGGCAGTGTGACCTGCCAGAATATGAGCCTATAGCGGTAATGCGGTTACCAGTGTATGAAACATAATGATGGACGATGAGAGCAACACAGCGAGAGAGTGGATTGGAGAGAGGAGCAGGTAGGATGGAGTGAGAGAAAGAAAAGATGGCAGCAGAGAAACAGTGGGGGGAAAACAGCAGGTAAACAGTAATGTAATTGCCATTAGATCAATTTGATCGCGGTCAGAGATCACTGCTTGTGATGATAAATATTGATCTGATAAAACCACTGAGGCAGAAATCAGGGCTGACATGTAAACAGGCAGAGCAGAGTGGTTACAGCTGCGCTGACTCAGACTCAAAATATAAACATGAAAGCCAGACTGGAGGAGGGCTGGTGAGCTGCCCATGGGTGAGGCATCAACCTCCAAAATGGTGGTGACACTAAATGTAGTTATTTTTCTTACTGATCAATATTTTTATGACATGAGTGTAATGTGTAATATTAAAGGGGTCCCTTGCTGTAGTAAACCCACAAATTGATATAACTTGACTCTTCTTTTCCTTCCTTCTGCTTCTGAGTTTTAGTGTCCTTCGGCCCATTGTTTTGGTTCCATGGCCCACCTATTTTGTTTCAGTTCAAATAAAACAAAAACACACTGTACACTTCCCACCCAGCAGTAAACAGGAGACAAAGTTAGAGACCAGTTGGTTAATACCAAAAACAGAGCCAAAAGATGTGAATATTTGGTTTGTCTGATTATATATTTGTTAGCAACATCTTCTTTCTGCCTTAGTTGGCACATACATACTGTATGTCTGTGCTGGGAACCACCTGCAAGTAAATGCATTTCTTGTAATACCTTGGCACTAGAAGTCCAAAACTGCACTGCTCAACAAAATCTGATGCTGCTTCCATCCTTATGTTTTGTAAAGCCTAGTCAATTTTTATAGCCTTAAATCACAAAAATGCCTCAAGGGGTTTTACAATCTATACTGCATACAACACCCTCTTTCCTTAGACCCTCAAATTGGATAAGGCAAATCTCCCCCAGGTCGGGGGGAGCAACCTCAGAAGATCAATCCCACTTCCAGGATGGACAGATGTGCAACAGCTGTGTGTACAGAATAAATCGGCACAATAAATTTATAGTATGGACAGTCAGAATTACATATTTTACACATGTGAGGAACACTGTATAAATAAATAAATATGAGAAATATAGACACTACATAAAGAAATGTACAACTGCAACCTACAAGTCAGTTCTGAGTTTAGTGTGTTGAAAGGACAGGGAGGGATAGAATATGGAATGAAAAAGGGAGAAGAAATTATTATAACAGGTGAAGCTAGCAGGAGAAAGAAGACAAGTGCTTCTTTAGTCTTTGGGAAAATTTTGACTTTTCATTTATAGCATCCAGACTTCAAGCTGAGTTCCACACATGGTTCTGCATGATTGCCCGAAAATTGAAAAAGGCATGAGACTGAATTCATACTATTTCAAAATGCAATTACAAGGCTTTTAACCGGTTGTATTTCCTGGACAGATTGACTCTGTGGAATCATGAACAAATTAGTGGAGGTTCAGTCTGGTCCAAATTTCTCCAGTGCCAGAGAGCCTTCTCTGCTTCAGAGGAGAGAAACGACAGAGGGAGGTAGGAGAGAAAACACCAAATAGACTGGCAAGGTCCCTGAAGAGCTCCCCAACTACTCTGCTGTGGGCGTGCACAAAATGCATTATAAGAGCAAAGGGGTGCGTGGACAGGCAGCAAAGTGTGCAGTGTTTCTGCAGGACACTAACATGCTGGAGGAGGCTGTGATTTGAAGTGACAAAACAAAAAGCACAAAGTCAACTTTTGCTGCTTGCATTAAGCAAAAAGGTTTTATTTTTACAAAGCAGTTGAACCAAACTTAAGTGTATTAACAATGTGTCGTTACCAAGCTTGAAATCCGAATGATTTCTACTGCATTTATTTTTTTATTTTCCCATCAGAAACCTGGAGCTCAAGCATGAGGATGCTCTGCTGAAACAAACTCAAAGATAAGCTCATTTTTCCATTGTCTGTATCTACATGTACAGTCAGTTTATTGATACTGATCACACCCATTTTTCCAGACATGTTAAATATGTTATAGGACATAAGACTGCAAGAATTAGAAACCGTCACTAATGCAATGATGTCAAAAGGGGAGGGGGGACAGTTCTCTGAACAATCATTTGATGAGAGAGAGAACATATAAAATGACAATTCAATTCTATCTTCAATTTCCTGACGTGCAATAGAACTCCACGGATTATGTTTCCTATGTACCCTATTAACATGAAGCCAGTGCAGCCTCCAATAAAAGTTGACAGACCAGATCCTCTGGATTCATTGTTGGACCTGAAATTCAAACTGAGATTGCTTTCCTCTAAATTACCATGGCACAAAATGTTCACGTACTGGAGCAGCAGTAAAACACAGTTTCATTTGCATTGAAATATTATGGGTGGCTTTTACTCACTTTGTTCCAGGTCTACAAATTGATCTGAATTCACAGTTTACAGTGATGGAAGCAAATAGCAGCAAGTGACACTGAGCGCAAATAGAAATGTCTTACTGTTTAACACCACACTGCAAAACTGAACAACTGCCTTGTTGCAGTTCAAAGCAGAGACCCCACCTGAGGCTGACTGGATAATCAATAGTACAACAAGAAGCACTTGCTCCAAAAAGAGAAAGTGGTGTCACTGTTAATCAAAAGAGCTAATTCTTACGGCTTCCCCAGTTTTCCTTCAAAAACTTTTCTACAAATAAGGAGCTTGTAAAATGGGATGTCATGATTCTCACAGAGCAGGCAGTGAAGTCACAGCCGATCAGAGCTGTCATCAAGATTCATGCATGCAAATGTTTGTTTTGTAAAGTTGTCTGAAAAAATGGTTCAGCTACTCAACAAGTTGTGATGTTTCAGGGAGTTATATATAGTTTCTTAGAAACCAAACATGTCCATTTTCTGTTTGTGCACACATTAAACCAACAAGATAAAATATTTTCATTAGTAATCTATTGTACAAGGGTGCTGGTAACTTTGAACAGAGTTATGCCAGCCGTTTCCCCCGGCTTCTAGTTGTTATGCTAAGCTAAGCTAACTAGCTCCTGGCTCAAGCTTCATATTTAAAATTCACTCTTGAAAAAAGCTAATTTGATAAAGTGCATTTTCATTAATTTAGCAAATGTCTTTGAACCATGTCTGCCAAAGCATTTTTAGTAAGAAACAACAGCCTGAAGATATCTGAGCTTGAAAAATTAATAAAGATACCATGAATTATATGATAAGAAATATTTGAGACTTTCTCCATTTCTAAACAGTTTTTCATCCATCCACGTTCCCTTTGCACTTGTCCCGATCTGACCATCTGCTGTAATTTATTCTTGTCATCTTCTTTCTTGTGCTCGTTTTCATCCCTGCTGTGAGGTACAGGAGCTGCAGCTTCATTCTCATCTGCAGACTCACAGTCTGGACACAAAGTAAACAAGCAAATTAATGAACTGGAAGAAAATTTGAGATAGATCAAGAAGATAATACAATAATTACAAGTATAGATACTCTAAGTATGTTGCTAAAAAACATAACTTACAGGAGGAAGGCTGGCCATATTCTTCATCACACTGTGGTCAAAGTCACTATAGACATTGTTGTCTTCAGTAGGGTCATCTGCCAACACGTACAACTCTCCAGCATGGACATCGGATACATTTACCTTTATGAAGAGACAGACGGACGGACGATAGCCAATTATACTGTAACACGTGCAAACAACATGAATGGATCCATCTTGCAGAACTCTCTACTTTCACAGTGCAGGTATGAGACACACCTACCTGAAACGTTTTAGGGTTGAAGCCCAGCCAGAGAGTGTATCTATAATCCCAGGAGCGTACGGAGTAACCCATGACCTTTATGTCTTTAAGGTCAGGGAGGTCAGAGTTCATCTAACAGAAGAACATTCAACTTTAAATGGATCTGAAAGTGATCAAAATACTGTAGAAAGCTGTCTGTGGTGCTGTCACATCTGCAGCTGTCAACTCATTCTGCAAGCCAGCTGATGAGCTAATGTCGGCCGGCCAAGCTACTACTTACAGAGATTAAGCTGTAGCAGGTGCAGCACTGATTCAAAGTTCGTGTAAGTGCTTGCTCTACATCTGCTCAGTTTTCAAGACCTTCCCTTATTTTGACATTTTAAATTAACTTTATGATCAGCTTATTAAAAGCAACAGTGTGACATTGTTGTATTAAAGACATGTTGCTTGCAACTCCTGATCGGTACAAAAACTATAATAAATTTCACCTTTAACCAACTCATGAACATTTACATTTGCTTTTCTAAACAGTCCATCGCTGGTACCTGTGGTGTATCTGCAGGTCGAGGGTACTGGCTGAAAGATACTGCCTCCTCATTTTTTCCTGTTTCTACATGTTGGAAGGTGTAGGCAAGATTGTGTCCTTCAGTACACAGCTCCTCCTGAAAGCAGGAAAACAGAGGGGACAAAGGGAAATAAATGCCACAGTCAATTAGATCACATTTATGTCAGTTTTTACTCAAAACTAGAAATGTCAGCATTGTGGTGGTAGAACAGGAAAGCTCTGGGCATGTCCCAAGTTAGTAGGATTCCTCCTCTGGGCACCATGAATGTCTTTAGTAAGACTAAAGACATTCAGACTAAAGACTAAAGTAATAATTTCATTGTACAGGGAAACACGTTTCCTAACCGTGCATATGACAAATAAACACTTTGAACTTTATATAAATGTCATGACAATTCATTGAACAGTTGAGATATTTCAGTCTACAGTGACCAACAACGTTATCCTTGCAGCTCTGCCACTAATAAACAATGCAAAGAAAACTTTACCATGATGGTGGAGTCAAAATCAGGCAGCAATCATGACTCTTTTTCTGTCAACTACAAATTTTTTAATAATGAATTCACTTTTATCTCAATACCTGGAAAGAAACGTCAGCACAAGGTTTAGGTGCTCTGAGACCTGCCATGTGGGAGACTGTAGGAAAAACATCCACCAGCTCCACTAACTGTCTTCTGACAGTGTCATCTGCAAAAGAAGAGAGGTCAGACTGGTAAAGTTTTATCAGGCCATTGAGAGATAAATAGTCTAGATATCCACTAAATATTACTGGACACTCTGCACTTAAATTTCATCATCATTGCACCATTTGCATCTGAGCGAAAAAAAAACTGTCTGGAGGCAAAATTTCAAAGTGTATCCCCGTCCAAACACTTTTGCGTTTCCCCATGCATATCAAAGACCCTATGAAAGTCAGGTTGGCATAGTCATAAATGTTTTATCAAGGTTTATATGAGCATGTTAAATCTGAACACTTAAATCAAAATTGTTTCCTTTTGTGATTTAATGTTTCATATTATCGATACAAATTTTATTTGCCGTCAGTGAAAGGGCCTTACACTTAAAGTGGTACTCTGACTGGGTTAAGACATCAATAAAGGGGAAAGTAGACTCTCCCAGCCAATCATACTGCGCGGTGAGACCAGGAACGTAGAAGATGAGAGGGACACGTGTTGTCACATCAAAATTCGAGTACTTAGCCCAGTCACCGTGTTCTCCTAATGACCAACCTGCAACAAGAATGAGAAAAAGAGAAAAGAACAGGATGCATCAGTCTACAGTCGTTTGAGTAGGTTATCCCATTCTCCCTGACAGAATAGCTCAAGCTCCGTCAGACTGGATGGCAAGTTGTGAACTGTCATCAGGTCTCTCCACCAATGTTCTGTGGAGTTTAAGTCTGTGCTTGAGCTGAGAACTCAAGGACAGTCAGAGACTTGTCCTGAAGCCACTCCAGCCACCACCATGCTTCACCGTGGGGATGGTATTAGCCCGGTGATAAACATAGTGTCCACAGTTTTGCTCAAAGTCTTACATTTTTTATCTCATCAGACCAAAGAATCTTTTTCTTCACATTTATCAACTCCTCACTCCTTCTCATGAACCGGACTAACTGACTTCTCACACTCTGCTGCTCAATGCTTCACGGACACTTGGCTCAGCGACTCCATTTCAAACAATGCAATACAAGTACCAGGCTTCCAGGTATACAAAATAGATTGCATAATGGAGTAATCCGGGAAAACAAGAGGAGGCGGAATCTGCTTCTACATAAACGAAGGTTGGTGTAAAGATGTCACAGTGTTAGAAAAAACTTGCAACTGCAAACCATTTTACTCTCCGAGAGAGTTTTTGTCATTTATTCTGGTTGGAATGCAGACCCATGCTAGGACACTACTGCAACTGGCCAAATCAGATAACTGGTGTGGAACTGAAACATCCTGACTCTCCACTCATTGTTCTAGGGGATTTTAACAAAGCGAATCTCACCCACATGCTGCCCAAATACAGACAGCACGTCGGTTGTCCCACCAGGGACAAAAACACACTGGACCACTGCTACACAATAAAAGACGCCTATCGTTCTGTCCCCCGCGCAGCCCTCAGACTCTCTAAACACTGCATGGTCCATCTTATGCCGATCTATAGGCGAAGTGTAAAAGCTGTGAAGCCTGTAGTCAAAACAGTGACGAAGAAGGCAAAGTCAGAGCTACAGGCCTGCTTTGACTGCACAGATTGGAGTGTATTTGAAGCCGCGTCTACAGACCTGGTTGAACTCACTGACACTGTGACATCTTACATCAGCTTTTTGTGAGGACGTGTGTGCGCACACCAAGACCTTCTGTACATATAACAAAAGCAAGGCCTGGTTCAGAGTAAGACTCGAGCAGATTTGTTGTACCAAAGAGGAGGCCTACAGAAGTGGGGACAGGATCCTGTACAGGCAGGCCAGGTACAGATTGAGAAGGGAGATCGAAGTAGCAAAGAGGAGCTACTCTGAAAAGCTGTAAAAACCAGTCTTCAGCCAACAACCCCTCATCTGTGTGGAGAAGCCTGAAAAACATCACTAGCTACAGGAACCCCGCCCCGCTGTGGAAGACCATCAAATGGCAGATGACCTGAATGTGTTTTACTGTAGGTTTGAGAAGCACAACTCCACACCCCTCACCCACCTCACCACAGACTCAGCAGCTGCTCCCCAAGCAATCATATCCCTTCCCCCCCCAGCCCCCCTGAAGATCTGTGAAAAGGATGTACAGTATCTTTGTATATATTTAGCTTAAAACCTCCATGTAAACTGTGGGTATATGAACATATATTTTATAAGTACTTTATTTTTCCTAATGCACATTCCTTTTTTCTTCTTTACACATTATTTTTCTTTTCTTGTTTGATCAGTCTTATCTTGTTTTCTCACTGCCTTATTGAAAAACATTGTACATACACATTGAGAGCCACTGTACTGGAGTCAAATCCCTCCTGTGTTCAACACACCTGGCCAGTAAAGCCGATTCTGATTCAAGCCCTTTAAATGATACTTTGCAAACTCCAAGCAGGTCTTTTATTCAAAGTGGCATGTCACTCTACCATAAAATCCTGAGTGCCAGAGCCCTGCTGAGATGGTTGGCCTTAGAGTCGGTGCTCACATCTCTGCAGAGGACTTCTGAAGCTTAGCTTTACCCTGGTCTATGCCTGACTATATGGATTTATCACAGAGGCCTACAGAGGGTTCTTGGGACTTCATGGTTTGGTTTTTGCCCTGGCGTGCAGTGTGAATTCTGGGACTTTACATACTTTATTGTGTGCCTTTCTAAACTATGTCCAACTCAATTGAGTTTGCCAAGTCAAATCAAGTTCTAGACACAGCTCAAGGAAGATTCGAGTAAACATGAACCACCTAACCACATTGGTCGAGAGTCACAGCAAAGGGTCTGTGTACCTTTGTAAATGAGAACTTTCAGTTTTCATTTTTAATAGATTTGCCAAAAAAAATAAAAATAAAATTTAAAAATAACTTTTCACTTTGTCTTTATGAGTTATTGAGTGTGAATTTATTGGAAAAAATGACACTTGTATCCATTATAAATTAAATTAAAACCACAGTAAAGTGCACTTCAAATGAAGAGGTTTGAATTCTTTCTCAAACATCTGGATATCATACAAATAACATTTTAAATACAGAAATACTGTGGCCTATTTGACAGTCCATTTTACTGATGTTTTTGCCACTCAGGTTTGAAAATTATTGCAGCTGATTGGGCTTTACTGGGTATAAATCAAACAGTCACAGAGAAGATTCACTCCAGCACCCTCCCCTGAAGGAGACATTAAAGGAAATTGAGTTTCCAAGTCACAAAGTTTTTGAAAAAAAGAGGAGGTGCTGAGAAAGGGCTGTGTTTTTAGAATACAGGGAAAACGTGGAAGGCAGTAATGGTGCATTGTGCTGTTACAACACTGCCATCTGGTGGTAAAAGGCAAGTACCCCAAAAATATTTATTTAAAAAAGCTCATTAATACACTTAACTTCCTCAAATAATGCATCTGGGGTACTCATTAAATTGTACAAAGGTAAGCAATCGAGTCAGTGTTTTAATTAGACACCAGCATTTATGCCATCCCCAGGCAGTTTATGTGAAGCATGTGGCCACTAACCATGATCAGAGGTGAACACCACCACAGTGGTGTTAGTCAGCCCCAGGTCATCAAGAGCACTGACCAGCCGCCCAACCTGAGCATCCATATAAGAGACAGCAGCATAGTAGTACTGACGGATTCGCAGCTGGGAGACAATGACACACAACACTACTGTTAAATCGATTATAGACAAGGAAAAACATATTATGCATGATTAACAAGTGTTGAAAGCAGCCAGTTCATACCTGGAAGTCTTCAGGTACTGGCCCATAAGGGAAGCTAATGTTTAATTTTTGGACATCGTCCCTCTTCCTCACGTCCACCCATGGGTTGTAGGCCACTGGTGGAAGGCGTTTGGGGACATCAGGGTCAGGGGCCAGGGTCATTTGTTCTATGGGATATAAGCTCAGGTACTCCTGTAATATACCAGCAGCAGCCTTTAGTTAAAATTAAGAGTGGGTACAGGTACAAAACTATATAAAGTAACAGGTGGATCTGCATTATGATGAAGCTGTTTTCCATTGGCCCAGATACTGTTATGCAAATGACTCAGTTGGCCCACTTTTCCAAAAATGTTGAACCCAATCTAAAAAAACATTGTGGCATAATTTCTGATCCCAACTTGAACACTGAGCACTGTGTGAAATCTCTGGTTCAGTCCTGCTTTTTCAAACCAGTAACATTTGGACTGCCCCAGCAAACTACAGATCTGACTACCTAACCCCTTTGTTAATCTCCCTCAGCAAATCTCCAGTGGTTCACAACTCTGCAGTGAGGCCTTTTACAAAAACAAAAACTAGATCACACAGTCCCTCCCATTTAGCTTTCCCCAACCAGCTTCGTGTTAGTTAAAGGGCTGATTGACATGTAGGGCTGTGACATCACAGTCAGGAAACTAAAAGCAGTTCTCCCTTTGACCACTGCAAGAAGCCTCATCTCCACGGCAGAGACTTGTGGCTCTTCCAAGTTCTTAGACTGAAAAAATTTACGTGATGGAGCTTTTGCTGTTGTTGCATCTAGAACAGCCTCCTGAGGCCAAACTAGTCACATCCATGTTACTGAAGCCAGAGAGAGCAACCTGCTGTGTTAACTATTACTGAAACATTATATACAGGTATGTTACATCTCAGGCAGCGCACACAGGCTCCACAGGTGTTAATATGAAATCATGTACCTGTGGTATCCTGAAGGGTATGTGTGGTTTGTGAAAGCCCACAGCTAAGAAGAAAGGATCATCTTTGTTGGCACGACTCTTCAGTAACTGTACTGCCTTGTCTGTGCTTTCCAGATCAGGGAGGGTTCCCCCGGGCTGTTCTGCCACATCCACTGCACACAATAAGTTAGCGTGGAGTTTACCATCCTCTCCTTTACACACCTGTAAGGTTTTCACACAAAATATTGAAAGTCAAGTTTATGCACACTTCCTGGTAAGATCTACACTTCAGAAAATTTGTTTATAAACTGTTGCACATATATACATTATCATTCACTGTTGTGTTCAGAAGAAGAAGTTCACCGTTTACTGTTAGCTCTTATGACAGAAATATATTTGACTTGTTAGCAGAAAAATGATCAAGTATGTTCTCAGTTAGCTGCCAACATCGTCTGTCAGCTGTCTGGTGCTGAGTATGTAGTGCACAATGGTTGTGCAGAGCTTTACTGATGAAAACAGCTGCTTGGTGTCTATGGACACTATAAGAGCAGCGAGAGTGAACCAATACAGTACGTTTACCATTGAACACATAAACAATGTACTGACACGTGGTATAATGCTCCGTAAAGAGGAAGCAAGCTGCAGATTCATACTGACAATTCTTTTTAGGTTCATCCCTACAAGTTACCTCTTTCACGTCGATATTGGACAGTTTTCTTGTAAGACATCTGTGTTAGTCTCTTTAAAGAGTAGTGTCAACTGACTTATACTGTTCATTTAATAAATGTCTGATTATATTCATTCATTCATGCTATTTGTTATAAACATCGTATTATATACTGTAGCTTTCTTCATGGTAATATACACACATGCAAAGTGAAAATCTTTTATGCTTATTTACTGTTTCTAATACAGCATTGTGCTAATGTTTTGCAGTAAGATTTAAAAGTACTGGGGAGAGAGGCAGAAAGAGAAACATGATTTTTTTTTTCTGCTGATACATTTTGCACATACTGTACACAGGAAAACACCATCTAAAGCATGTAGAGGAGAATGAGGCAGATACCCACTGATAATCAGCAGTGAATAGAGAGCATGCAGTTTTATATCTAAAGCATGTAGAGGAGAATGAGGCAGATACCCACTGATAATCAGCAGTGAATAGAGAGCATGCAGTTTTATATTCATCTTAAATTCTGGCCCCCCCGAGACACCCTCCAATCCAAAGGTCTCCAAATGCAACAGCTGAGCCCAGAAAGGAGTCCCCTATGTTATCTGGATTTAAAAAGAGACTGATTTGGCAGATTATCTTTCTAATGTCAGAGAAAAAAAAACAGAGACACATGCTAATCAAGCACAGGTTCAGTGGCCAATAAAGTTCAATGAAGGAAACTTTAGTTTTAAAAAGTACTAAGGATCATATGTGGTCACATGGTCCCTCTGTTGTTTTTGTTTTACTAGGTAAGTGTTGCACTCTGTTGTGTTTTGAGTTTAGTTCGTGCAAAAAAACCAAACACCAACTGATTTCACATTGAACATGAAAATGGGTGTGTTTTATCAAGATGATTGTAGTCTTGGTTTCTGTGACGCTCTGACTAATTAACTGAGGGGAACCTCTGTGTATATAGATGGAATGTTGGCATGCTTCCTCAGATACCTGAAGCAAACACTGCCAATTAATAAATACTTTATTACACCCCAAGATGGATTTTTCATGTTTTTTTTGTAATGACTGACAATTTAAGAAAGATTAGGAATGCGTGGAAAGCCTTTTATGATGCATAACTGTTAAAACTCTGTAATGTGACTGGATGTCTTTACTTCTAAAAGTCTGCAGTGAACAAGAATAGTGTTGAAATCGTTAGCAGATTTAGTGCAATTGCTTAGTTTAGTGCATCATTTCCATCTCCATAGGAAATAATGACAGCTGAAGCCTAATGGTAGTCCTAGAGTTTTATTATGACCGTTAAAAGGGGCTACTATCAATTTTCAGATCCCCTAAGAAGCCCAGCTGGATCCTATTTATGAAATATTTGGGAAATGTTAAGAGCAAAGTCATTTGGCTTCCTTCAAACAGGAAACAAAACATAATCATAATCATGCCTGAAAAGAACCGTCATACTGCATTCTGTTTTTAAGATTTGTCTTGTGAATTTAATGAGCATTACATTCAAAGTGGATGGAACATTTGTGGATGGAACCTTTTTTTTTACGTGTTGATGCTAAAATATTTAGAAATTATATGAATAAATGCAAAAAAATCTCATCATTTACTAGGTAGCCTAGCAGACCTGCATCACTCCAAGCTAAATGAACTTCTTGTGTGCATACGCAGCAGATGTTGAAGGTCAGTAAGAGAAATTCTGTTTGTACCTTTTTCTTCTCGTATCTAAATGAAGGTGGGTGGTAGGCAGGGGTGGACCAGCTGTAGGGGTAGTCATCAGTGTAGTTAGAGGCAATTCCTAAAGAATGAAAATACAACACAACCACATTTACTACTATACATTGGACAGACAAAAAAAGTGTCCACACATTTTTTAAGTTAAACAAATTTACACAGAGGGGTATCTTCTCAAAAATGCACCTCAGGCTCATCATTAACCAGGTGTTTATCTGTAATTCTTACTGCAGCTTCAGTGGTAACCAGTTCACCAGAGATCACACACACCATGAACTTTTTTTTGCATTATCCCCCCAACTTTGACTTTTATTTAACTTTTATATTATTCATTTTACCTGGATGAAACACTTTGCCCACAGACATGGTGAAGTACCCCCTATCTTTAAAATACTGTGGGAGAGTTGTGTAGTTCCCTGAATGTACTCTCCAGTAGGAGTTGAAGTCATAGAGCCTGGTTGTATCTGGTCTGCGACTAGTTAACATGGACGTACGACTGGGAGCACACACAGCTTGCTAAGAGAGATAAATAAACAGTCACAGACTTCTATGAAGCTACATAATCCAGTTAGTCTCACATCCAAATATACTTAAATGCTTTGACAATAAGCAAACACAAAGAACGCCAACTGACCTGTGCATATGCATTGAGAAAAACTTGACTTTTGGATGCTAGCTGGTCAATGTTAGGTGATTTTACCACAGAGTCCCCATAACAGCCCAGTGATGTCCGCAAATCATCTGCTATTATGAAAAGGACATTTCTCGTCTCTGAAAGCAACCCAACAGTTAATTATTCACAGCTTCACTGCTTTTAAATGGACATACTCAACATTCAGGCATAATTTCTAGACTGTTGCTAAGGAAAGCTCAAGAGCAGCTGGGTTAGAAAATTAAAACTATAATAAAAACAAGATGCTGTTAAAGACGCTTAACAGTTCATAGTAAATTAAAAGTAGTGACACTGGTTAACAAATACTGCAGAAAAAAAGTGAGAATCTAGCAGGTTTGACAATAACTCAACCCAGTTTCAACACAATAAACCCACAAGGCAAGCAAAGCAACAAAACACATTCTTTTAGTTAAATTAAGTTAAATCAGATAATTCTAGCTACAGTGAGTAAACGAGCACTCATTATCCACTAATGTCAGCTAATTTATATGATTAATGTTAGTGTAGAAAAACTGCCAGTCTTCAAGTCTGTACGATAACTAATCTGAAATGTATTAGAATGTAACTATATGTAACTTCCACACTGAATAACACTGACAAGCTTTTCTCCCTATGTAGTCAATATTTCCTACAAACTACCTCGTCTCCCAAAAACAGCAAGTGCCAGTGTGTGAAGACCCAGGAGCAGGAGACATACACGGAAAGGCGTACACATTTTGGTCTGTTACTACAAAGACACGATATCCTTCAAATAAAGTTAACACAAGAGTGAACGTCACATCCCTACGGTACTATCCATCGGCTCAAACACGATGCTACTGTTGACATCGAGAAGGGTGGGAGGAAAAAAAAAAAATCCTTCCTGATTATCGCGTCACTCCATTGCTGCGTTCTCACTGGTCCACTCAGCAATCGCCCCGCCCCCAAACGTACATTATATTTGTTAAATGATATGTCAGTCATTTGGAATACTTATAAAGGGAATAAGAGAAGAGAACGGCATCTATATGCTATACGTTCACTGTTTTGTGTCTGTACAAGGCCTGTCTGCCATTTTGGGAACAGATAACTGAAATAAAAAACTCAATTGTAGGCTTCAAATAACTAAATGAGCTCTCAAACTAAAAATCTTCCTAGAAGTGGAAGACAGGGCAAATCTTGCTCCCCAATATACAGTATATCAACATGCCACAGCCGACGGGACAACTGAATGACCTAGACACACACAGTACACACACGATATACTGTACATTTAATAAGTACATAGTTTTTCTTTCTCTATTTCTTTTGAATTGTCTAATTATTTAAATAATTATAAAGTATGTTTTGATGCTTTGGCAATATTATTTATTAAAACTTTCGTGCCAATAAGTCATTTGAATTGAGCTGAACTCAACTGAATTGAGTTATAGTATATACAGTATAGCATTGTATTTTATATAAATATATATTAACGTAGTGTGTGGCTCATTTTGTCTACATTAACACAGCTGTAGCTGAGAGATGGAGAACTCAATATTTCAGTAATTACATTTTCTATCGTAAACATTGTTAAATCGTAAGACAAATTACAGGTAGTGTTATTAAACTGACTACTATGGCTCGAGTCTGATGCTGAGGAACATAAATGTTATAATTAAAATAGCTTTTCAGAAATGTATTCGAGAGTTTCGAAAGTTGGGTGCATGCGCGTGACATCAGTCTTCAGTGAATTTGATATGGTTGTTGGAGTGAGCTGTCTTTTCAAAAATAGACGATCTTTAGCAACAGGCACTGCACAGCTAAACATGGCAGACACCGCAGCTAAACGTGAAATTGATCATGTTGAAGCCGATGAATTATCTCCGAAAGTCAAACGGGCGAAAGTTGACAATGAAAATGGTCGAGGAGAAGCTGGAAAGGATTCTGAATCGGAAAATGTTTTGTCTGGCTTCGAAATATCCGCCGTTTTGAGTGATTCTGCTCGGGAGAAAAACATCTTTATCCATGGGAAGGTATCTAACTAAATTAGTTAACCTAACTTTGTCGTTAAAAAGTAGTTTGCTAACGCTAAATATAAATCCGTGGTTTTCGAGCTGAATGAGGAAGAGAGCTGTTGCTGCTAAATGAGGAGCTTTTTATACTTAATCTCACTGAAAGCCGTGTCAGTAGCTGGAGGCATTTAAAATTGACATCCGGTCAAGTAGCCGATTTCAAAATAATGAATTACTTAATCTTCTGTTATGCGATGCCATACACGTCTATAGTTAGTTAGGTATTAGGGGAGATTCTTAGAGAGAACCGTGTGGCTAAATAAAACGGTTGAACATGTCACCACCAGCTTGCTGATCAGGAGGCTGTAGTCATTCTGGAGAAGACTCCCATCAGACAAGACACCCTGACTGAGATCTTCAGTGGCTCCAGGCTGATGCTGGAGATGAGGAATGACATCTACAGCACGTATCGGCTCCAAGCTCCCCCTCACCTCAACGGTGAAGTCAAAAAGACACAAACCAGCTGAAGAGTTTGTGAATCCAGCAGACACTTTGGCCTGCTGCAGGAAAGTTAAATAGCATGCTTGTGTCTGTTTTGCAGAGCTTAAGACTACAGTGGTGTGTCCAGCTACAGAGAAGCATGTAAACAAATACCAGCGTCAGGAGAGTTTCCTGGTGGAGGAGACATTGGAAGACTATCAGTCCATCACTTTGCCATACATTCGGGAGCAGAGTTTCAGCATCCAGGTCAGTGTCCTGAAATCACCTCCTCTGGTACAGTACCCCCTTTTCAATGCGCAACATTACCTGTGTTTTTGTCATTGCTTTCACCCTTCAGTGGGTTTACAACATCCTGGAGAAGAAGGCAGAAGCTGAGAGGGTAGTTTATGAAGATCCAGACACAGAGGTTGGCTTTGTTCTCCTTCCTGATTTCAAGTGGGACCAAAAACAGGTGAGGGACCAAGAATACTGACTACATTAGAAACCATGAAGTTGTAGGAAGGACACGGACACACGTCAAGATTTGGTTTCCTTTGGCCTTGTGGTTCTCAACTTTTTATACTTTTAGGACTCACCTTTTTATTCATATAGGAGTGAACTTTACCTCAGACTCAGCAGTCAAGTTATAGAAAGAACATGATTTAAAACCTGAGTTTTGCACATCTGTAATCAGGACTGGGTAGTTAACATAAATCTTCACCACAAGAATATCCTCCCCTTCCAGTTGATATAATTTTCAAAAGGGTTTTTACTTGGCAACATTTCTGTGGTGACACAAGCTGCATCCTTCTTCCCTGTGCTGCTAAGAGTTATCTTCTTAACTATACTGTACGGGAAGATACTGTATCTGCACAGAGGCTAAGAATCGCTGACTATACCTTTTAAATGCAGCTCTCTAATACAAACAAAGTGAGAAAGAGCCAGAGCAGAGTAACTGGGAACCACACCGTTCTAGAATATCGGTCTTCCTCTTTCAGGTAGATGATTTGTACCTGATCGCCATAGCACATAAGAGAGACATTGGGAGTCTCAGAGACTTGACATCAGAACATCTACCGCTGCTGCATAACATCTTCCAGAAAGGAAAGGTGAGGTTACAATTATCCCAGGGTTTTTCTGAAGGAGTCTTGTTGGAGGAAAAGTAACATCGGTGCCACTGAAGTGACCTGTGATCATTATAAACATCCTCCCCATCCAACCTAGAACTATATAATCTATACTCTTCATAATGAAAGATTCATAGGAAACAGCTCTGGTTGTTGAACGATAACACAAACAGGATGATAATATCAGTGTAATTATGATCTAGGAGGCCATCATGCAGCGCTACAACCTTCCAGCCAGTAAACTGAGAGTCTACCTGCACTACCAGCCATCCTACTACCACCTCCACGTCCATTTCACCAAGCTGGGCTATGAGGCACCCGGGTGCAATGTGGAGCGCGCCCACCTCCTCTCAGACGTCATCCAGAACCTCCAGTCTGACCCCCAGTACTACCAAACCCGTACCCTGTACTTCCCACTGAGAGCAGACAATGGCCTGCTCAGCAAGTTCAAGGAGGCAGGGAGATTGTAGCACACTGTACTCACATGCACTGTGTTTTTAGACTGTCAAACCAAATCCAAGCTTTTTACTTTCTTTTTTTTTTTGCTTGCTTGACAAATAGCAGATCAGTTGTATAGCTACATATCTGTTCTCTGTGAAAGAGTATTTCACACATCAAGTAGTTACTCAACATTTTATGTATGTTTGAAACACGTTTGGATAAATCATTTGTACATGTTTGAGTCTGACTTCTCATTAAGGTGCTTTTATAATCATTTTCATATAATTCCTGTTTTTATTATGAGAACAGTGGAGAACACAGGAGAGGACAGGATTCTTCTCTCCCTTTCTGTTTTCATGTGTTTTGTATGGTTTGACTTGCTGACTGAATTAAAGTCATTTTTTTCTACACAACCTGTCCTTATAGATTGATTTAGTTTGGAATGATGGATTTAATAAACTGATGTAGCTAGAAGGAGTTTCTAGAGCCTGTGAAAATGGCCAAGTTGTCATCTTGTTCTAAGCATTTTGCTGAATCAGGTGACATCTTGATATTTCAGAGATGATCTCCTCTGAGATGTCTGAACAGGCTATAACTGTGTAATGTAGGACAATCACTGTATTCCAATACAGTGACCTTTATCTATAGTAGACTTTTTTACATAGACCTTTTTCTATAGTAGAGATTTTGACATCAGTTTTTGACCTTGTACACAGTTTTTTCTTATGATGCTCAAGTAAACCAGTGGACAATGGACTTGAGGAAAGACGAGTAATTTCTTAAAATCATTTTAAGATGCAGTGAAGTACTCACTATCACACAGCTACAGCAGTAGATGGCAGCATTAATCCTGAAATATTCATCTTATATTTGTTTATTTTACTGTGAAAGGGTCTTAATGCAAAGAGGAACACAGGCATTCTCTGGACTTTATGCTCAGGTCTCTGCCTTTTCTTAACAAAATGAGCAAATAGTATGTTAGGTGCCTTAGTTTGGCAGGTTGTGTAAACCCAAGACTACCAATTTCTACATAATTATATTTAATTAAACTCTGTTTACGTTCTTGAGGAGCTGAGGTACCTTGTTTTGTTGGACTGATACCCACAATGCCAGAGGTCAGAGTTGCTTTGTAAGTAGTTGGTGGTGGTAGTAGTAGTAGTGCTGCATAGACAACCTGGTTTTTCACACCTTGAAGATGTTCAGACTTTCTTTGGTAATAAGCATGTTTCTGCCAGCGGACATCATTTTCTTATCTAAAGTCAGGCGGCGCTTTGGGTTTACAATGCGTTCAAAGGTTCAGTGTAAAAATGAAAACCAATTACCAGGACAAACATCAAATTACAGTGTATTTATCCTGGGCGGTTGTGGCTCAGGAGGTAGAGCAGGTCGTCTCCTAACCGGTTCGATTCCAGGCTTGTCCAGTCCACATGTCGAAGTGTCCTTGAGCAAGACACTGAACCCCCAGTTGCTCCGGTGATGTGAATGCTTGTGAGTGTGAATGGCCAAATAGTATGAAACCGTTTTGAGTGTGCTGCAATGTGTAGAAAACGCGCTATACAAGTATAAGACCATTTCTAACTTTAGGAACAACTTGTTGACCACAGTACTTTATATCAGCCACAATAAAATAAAACAAAAAGTTTAAGACACAGACAATAAAACTTTAGACAAGAAGCCAACTAAAAAAAAAAAAAGCGTTTTAAGTAGTGACTTAAAGACAGGTAGATCCGTTGCTGATCTAATATTAACAGGTGAAGTGTTCCACAGTTTTGGGGCCATTGCGGCAAAAACGCTACCACACCAGCGCTTGCGTCTAGCCCATGGTGCATCTAAAAGAAACTGACTTGGGGACCTAAGGGATCTATCTGATTTGTGCCGGAGTTCACTGAGGAAAGAAGGGGCCAATCCATTAAGTGCCTCAAAAACAAATAACAGAAACTTAAAATCGATTCTATAACGGATTTGAAGCCAGTGGAGAGAAGCCAGAATAGAGATAATGTGATCTTGCTTATGTGTACTTGTCAGCAGACGGGCAGCCGTGTTTTGAACCAGCTGGAGACTAGAAAGGGAAGAGCAATTAACTCAGGAGTACTTATAGTGGAATGAAATGATAAACTATTCCTCATTGATCATTATGTCCAGGAAAGAACCTTTTCGTGGTCTGCTGAAGATTAAACTACTAGTCAATTGCAAACTGGAAATAGGCTCAGTTCCAAGTTTACAAGCTGCATTATGGCCATTATGAGGAGAAGCACATTTATTTAAAACCACAAGACATCAGTGAGTGCATCAGTGGAGTTTTGAAAATGAATGTGATTTATTTTATGGATTTGTTTTTGGCTAATAAACACAAATGATGGACTCATGAGTGTAAGGTTTTGTGGCTAAACTCCAAATGTTAGCCTATATCAGGCTAGAGTGTGGTTTTACAGTGCGAGTTGTACATCAGAAACTACATCAGTTAAGTTTCAGGAGATTCCGAGGCGCCTCTGAACGCAGCACCGTGGAGCTGAGGACACCTCGGCAGAGCTGAAATAAATAATCCAATCAGAAGTGTACGAACAGCACTGATGTCTTGGCTTCAGGCTCTGAGGGATGACTTCACTCTGAGGCCGTTTGAGAACCATCACACACGGTGAGTATCTCCGCCGTGTCCGCGATCAGCTTCGTCTCTGTCAGGCAGCGACTTTAACTGTTACGGAGCACGAAGTGAGTTTCTGCTGCTGCGGGGAATTCGGATGTTTGATTGGTGATCGATACACGTGGTCGATACAGTGTCCTGTAGTGATTTGCTCTGGTTTATGCAATGACCGAAGCAGCCGAGGAAAGAAACATCGTTTTCTGTTTGTAATGGGTCGATGAGCAAATGGTGGCTTGTTTTTGGCTGTAATTATTCTGAGAGTCCATGAGGCCCGGCAGTGAGTTTGTAGGCGTTTTATTTCAGCAGTGTGTGTGAAGAACTGAGGCTTATTAGTTTTATCAAATGTTCATGTTTTCATCAGGGCAAAAAAAAAAAGTTGAGGAAAGTCTTTAACCATGAAACAAAACTTTGCCTAAAAAGTAATAAACTCTACTCTCAAACAAACATTGTTTTTCTGTCACGTGATTCGTTCCCAGTATAATCAGTTCTCAGTTAGTTTACCTATCATGATTTATTTAGTAAGAATTAGGGTCAGTAAGGTGCATTTCAAGTTATGACTAATGTGTCAATGGGACCCTGGTGTTATAATCCATAGCTGCTCTTAGCATGTCTTTTTTTTTTTAACAACAGGTCTAAATGTGAAGTCTTATTCTTATTCTGTCCTTTCTCAGTGGTCAACCATTCTCTCTGTAATGCTGTCACATCAGTGAGATCACACACACGCACACACACACAGGCACTGTGTGAGCTCACTGTTTGCTGGAGGCAGGTCAAGGGCGGTCCAGATTAAACAGTAATTTTTCACTGTGTGGGAACATAGACACTGACTGGCTCAGAACAGAGTCGTGCTGTCTGTCAGTGTGTGAGGGTGGAAGGCTCAAT